AAGCAGTGTAATCAACGCAGAGTACTAAACTAATGATGTAGCAAAAGAAATAAATGTCTGTTCGTGTTTGATTCTAAAACAAGAACAATATCTGCTTATGATTTATACCAAACTTGCTATAACTGTGGTTATAGGGGAGAGTTTTTTAATCAATGTACAGAATGTCATAGCACAGACATATCAAAGCCTTATGGAGAAAATACTAATGTGTTTATAGCGTAGAGAATTATGCAATTCTATTACTGTGAATGGTGACGCTAATAATATGTTAATTAGTTTGCGTATTAGTGGTGGAGATGAAACTATGACTGCTGCTGTACGTAGTGTAAATCCTAACGGCACTTCTTATATATATAACTTTCTCTGAGAGACGATTTTAAAAGATATGCCAAAAGAATTAACAGATAGAATAAAATCATATAATGACATATATGACAAAGCACTTCATACAGATATTTACAATTATGAACACGATAAAATAGACGCATACAATTCTGTTATAGATGTATTAAATTCTGATAGAAAACCTGATGATCCAATTAAATTTGAGCATTTTGATTATTCTGTCATAGGATATAACGAACTAACAGAAAATTATTTTGAGACTATAGATTTTGGTTTGTATCTTACTGACGGAATGATGCCAACTCCTGAGATACCACATACTACTGCAAAAGATGAAGCAGAACGTGCAGTAGTTGAATTGCAGTCAAATACTGTGGCTGTATCTCCTGAAACTATCGGTCATATATCTCTTACTTCTGCTGATTTAGCAGTAAAAGGATATGCAAAGGCAATAATCAATCCAATATATAAAGTTGATGTATCAATTCTTCTTTATCTGAATTATATAATGAAACTCATAGAACTTGGCGAGGAATGCTGACTGTTACAAATACAGGTCGTGAAGACGATGCATGGGGTAACTGATGAGATAACTGTAGATATTAACGGTGCCGACTATGAGAAATATCTTTATCAGAAGATTCAAAAGTCTATGGATAGAGATGATACTACTTTCAAATCTATTTTTGAAATTGAGGATGATGAGCAATTCAAAAAAGAATTAAGACTATATGGATTAAATCATTTAAAAGGATTTGAAGGCAGTTATAATGCTTGTCTTGAGGTTTTAGTTGAACAGGGCGTAACTGAAGGAAATTCATCATTCTATGGTGTAGATTTATACCATGAAATGTATGAACCTTATTATAATAGATTGCTTTTAATTCAGAGTGAAATGAATGTAAGAGAAAATCAAATCGAAACTGTTGGCGAAGTAAATGAAATGATTGATAAGCTTCGTACACCAGACTCAAGATATTCTTAATTTCAAAAGATATATTGGAGATGATTTATATATAATATTCTCTCATTACTTAAAAGAGTCTGAATATACAAACAGTAATTATATATCTGATGGTCTTGACAATTATGGATTAATTGAAAAGGCTAAGGAGCTATTTGAAGATGCTAAAAAAGAAGTAATTAAGGCAAGTACTTTGCAATATGAACTATCTTCTGATTTGGCTAATTTATTAAACGATAAGGCATTTGCTAATTTCAAAGATAAAATTCAATGTGGTAATTGGATTACTCTTGAGGCAGATGATTTTAATTATAGATTAAGACTAATTAATATTGGTATTAATTATGGTTCTTTAGACAGCATCAGTGTGACATTCTCAAATGTTACTAGATATGCTGGTGTTGTTAGCGATGTACAAAGCATACTATCTCAAGCTAGTTCAATGGCTGGTAGCTACAACTATGTTACACATCAAGCAAGTAATGGTAATACTGCAAATTCCAATATAAATAAATGGATTGCAGACGGACTTAATTCTGCTCTTGTAAATATTAAAAATAACGACAGAGAAGAAATAACATACGACAATCACGGTTTGATTGCCAGATCCATATGATGACATAGCTGATGCATACAGTGATGAGCAAGTTAAAGTCACTCATAATTGTATTGTTTTTACAGAAGATAATTGGAAGACTGCTTCTTCTGCTCTTGGCAAACATCAATATGTTGATTATAACGAAGAAAAAGATGAATTTGTGTCAAAGCAAGGATTTGGTCTTACTGCAAAGTTTGTTCAGGCAGGAAACCGTTGTTGGTAGCAAAATTATTGGTGGTGCAATATACTCTGATAATTATTCTATCAACAAAAAAGAAGGAACTTATATAGACCTAGAAAAAGGTAAGTTTAGTTATGCTGGTGGCAAATTCACTTATGATGGCGAAAGCACTATTGTATTAGGTAGTGGAAATCATCAGTTATCGTACAATGGTACCCACTCTATCCGTACAAGGAAATATTACTATGCGAGGTGGTAGCTTAACAGTTAATGATACAAGTGGAAAAGCTTTGCTTTCGGGCAAATATTGATAGCCACGCTGTTAGTCTTGGTGGATTCACGGTTAAAGATAATGCTATTTATAATGGTACATCTACAAAAGATAGTACAAACAGCTGGTGTTTATGTTGGAACTGATTGTATTAGAAATTACAAAGATGCAACTCATTATGTTGATATCAGAGACGGAATCTTGACTTGTCAAAATGCTAGTATTTCAGGTGCTTTATATGCAACAAGTGGAAGTTTTAGTAATGTAACTATTACAGATAGTTGTACTATTGCTTCTGCTGCTATTCCTAATTTAGATGCTAGTAAAATTACAACTGGTACTATAGATGCTTCTAAAATATCCGTTACTAATATAAATGCTGAATATTACGACTGGTACAATGAGTGCAAGCAAAATAACATCTGGAACATTAGATTGTAGTAAAATAACTGTATCTAATTTAAGCGCTGGTTCTATCACTAGTGGAACTATAAATGCATCTAGTATTAATGTTACAAATTTTAAACGCTGCTAATCTGAATAGAGGAACTATTCTTCCGACAGAATTTCAGCAGATACTATTAGTAGTAAAATTGCCGCACTAAGCTATGTTACTATGAAACAGCGTACAATAGGTGGAACTACTGGAAAATGGAAATCAATTAAAGTAAACTACTTCTGCAGGTGATGAAAATATTACATTTTTTGTTTCATCTGATACTTAACATAGAAAGGAGGAAGTAAATGACTGATATACAGGAAATATATTTAGATATACACGATCATAAAACTTATGAGCAAATATATCAAAAACATATAATGTTGGAACTCAAATGAGATTCTACATTACTTGTGATGGTCAACCATTTGATATAAGTAACATTAGTGCTACTTTCCAGATGAAGAAACCAGATAATACAGTAATCATTGATAATTGTACTGTTGAGCAAGATTATATTGCTATACACAGTAACAGACCAAATGACAGCTGCTCATGGTAATGCCTCTTTTCAGATTACTATGTTGGATGAAAATGACTGTTATTATAAGCACAATTTCTGCTCGTATGCGAATCGATGAATCTGCTGTTCATGTTGATGATAAGCCTAGTTCGAGCGAGTTTAACTTTATCACAAGTGTATTAATAGAAGTTCGTGACTTAAGGAATGAAGCTGAAGTATTCAGAGACGAGTCAAAAGCATGGGCTGTTGGTGATGGTTCAGAAGTTGAATCTGAACCTAGTAATGAAAATAACTCATACTACTACTCAGAGCGTTCTCGTATCTATAGGTGACTCCAAGGCAGACCACAGTCGTTGTCGATAAGTGTATTAATAGTATTGAATTTGAGGAAGATACTGGTACGTTTATTATCACTGCTGTTAATGGTACTCAGGTTAAGATTGATACTAATATTGAGAAGATAGCTGTCAATTTTGATTATGACAAAGAAAATGAAAAAACTGATTTTATATGATTTTTAATGGACAGGTAATCGCTGAGATTGACCTGTCTTTCTTTGATTAGTGAGTTTGATATTAATGGTTCTGAGACTATCTCTATTGGAGAAGTTAATGAAAATGGAGAAAAAATATATACAATATCTTTAATTAAGAACTCTGTTACTTATGAATATTTAGATCCAGTTGTTGTTGCTGATATCACTGAGAATAAACGAGTTACTGAGGATTTTGCAACGAAATCACAATCTTATGCTATTGGTGGTACTGATAGTCGTGAAGGTGAAGATACAGATAATAGTAAATATTATTCTGAGCAAAGTAAGATTTCTGCTGATAATGCCAAAGAATCCGAAGATAATGCTAAGACATCTGAAATTAATAGTAAAGAGTCTGAGCTTAATAGTAAGGAGTCTGAAAACAATAGTAAAATATCTGAAACAAATAGCAAAGAGTCAGAGATAAATGCAAAATTTAGTGAAGAAGGTTCATTCCAAAATATGTCTGATTCTAAAACATATGCAGAAGAAAGTCAGAATTTTTATGAATTAATTAAATCTGCTCTTGAGGGCGGAGTTGAAAATATAGAATGGAAATATGATATTGAAACAGGAATATTGTATTACAACGGTGGTCGATTTACTTGGATTGTAAATGACCAAGGAGAATTACTTTGGGAGGTGACCATATAAATGATTAGTGCAGGAAAAATTGGTTTTGTGTACCGAAAGAAATGGGATGAATCGGTCACATATACCGAGAAAGATGTAGTAACTTATAAGTCAAACTCCTATATTGCATTAAAAACAACCAAAGGCAATACACCAGAGGAAGACTCTGAATTTTGGCATTTGTTTGTAGCTGGTGCTTCTACTGGTTCTGCTACATTCATTTCTGATACAGAGCCTGAAGATATGGAAATTAATGACTTATGGTTACAAGAATATTAAGGAAGGGAGGAAAATAATGGGTCAATATACGATATTAATGAATAATGTAACAAAAAGACTTGTTGCTACTAATAAGATAAGATTGCATCAACATGAGAGCTTGGTAGATAAGCTCTTTTTTATTTGTGAATTTGCTTATTCTGAAGATATTGATTTAAGGGATTTTGAGGTTCAGCTTCAATGGCTTGATCCTACAAACGTTGCTCATGTAGATATTCTTGAAAAAGAAGACGATGTTTATAAAGAGGATTATCAACGTTACTCACTTCCTGTTACTTCACCACTAAATAGATATGCTGGTGAAATAGAAATGAAACTTGTATTTACTATGGTTGATTATGAGAATCAGAAAAAATATAAGTTAGAGTCTGATACTATTTGTGTAGAGATTGCAACTATTAAGGATTACTATGCTGTAATGCCTGATGAGAGCTTCTCATATATTGATGATAAAGTAAGCGAGCTTAAGGCTATAGCAGACCAAATGAATGCTGATGCTCAGGTATTTATGGAGACAAAGGCTGATAACATTACTCTTAATCAAACAACTAATGAATTACAGCTTACTGCTCTCGATAAGAAGATTGGTGACCCAGTTGTAATTGATTTAATTGATGAAGCTGACAAGGAGCTTGATGAACTTGATGGCAAAGTTGATGGCGTAATTGACTTGGATGATATTGATTGGGAAAATGTAAATTTATAGGAGGCAACTATGGCAGATATAAGAATGACCGTTGTTGGTTCTTACCAATCAACAATTAAAGCTTTAGCATCTGGTAAGTTAAAGCCAGACACATATGTATTTTTAAAGGACAAAGAAATGTTGTCTTGGGTAGACCATGATGGCGTACTTCATCTTTTAGGAGATAGTGTTCAACAAATATCTAATTTTCCTGAAAAGGGTTTACAAAATACATTATATATTAAGGGAACAATGCCGTATGTATATGATGGCAAAAACTTTGTTCCTCTTAATAGAGATTTTTATGACAGATTGGATAAGGTTGAAGAACAATTAAAAGGTTTGATTAATCCAGAGACTGGAGAAGTTGTGACTGTAATTGAGTATGTAGAGACACAAATCCAACCCGTTCAGACACAAGTAGATGAGATAAAGGATAATCTTGGAACAATTAACATAGTAATTTAGGAGGTGCAAAATGGCAGTTTTAAATCAACAAGCCGTTTTAGGTTTCTTAAATCGTGATGAGATTCAAGATAGACTGGACTCAGGTGAATTAACTTCTTATTCCGTAGTATTTACTAAGGATACATTAGAAACTGTTATCATTGACGAGAATAAAGAGTTGATAGATATAAAAAACAGAGTGTTTGTATTTAACTCTGTTATGGAGGCATTAGAAAAACTTAATGCTTCTTCTTCTACTTACGAAGGTCAAATAGTTGCAATTCGTGTAGACGATTCTTATAGAGGACATATCGTTAATAAGAGCGAAGCTGGATATTATGTAACTGATTTATGTAATAATCCAAAAACTGTAAATTACGACACTCTTAATAATATTCCAATTAAGAATATACATTCTGATCCATCTGATCCTATTATCTTGTCCGATTTAGATGATGGAACTTATAAAATCACAGGCATATTTGTATGTCCTGATGATAAAAAAATCAAATCAATAGTTGGAAATTTAGTAACTATTCAAACTATTGAATGGTTAGAAGAAAAACGAATTAAAAGAATTAGTGATTCTAATATTTTTGACTATATTATTACAGCATCTGGAGTTGAAACTGAAGAGTATATAACAGATAAATATCTTGAAGAAAATGGTTATATTACTTCAGATGGAGTTGATAAAAAAATTGAAGCTCTTCATTTGGTGACAAAGGAAGATATGCAAAAATATGTTTATGAAACTTGCGTACTTCTTGTTGACCATATGATAGATGAAAAAATTCCAGAACATATCAAAGAAGCCTCAGAAGAAGAAATTGAGGATTTATTTTAATCACAAATGATAAATTGAGCCGTTTGCCACGGCTCTTTTTTATATGCCCAAAAATTGGGCTGTAACTATTAATAATATTATTATAGAAAGGCACGTAAATTACGTGAAACGGTGACAAAATTATGGCAGACGTTAACACAATTAAGGTAGTTAGTTATGAGAATCTTAAGTCTTATGACAAGTTAATCAAGAGCTATATTGATACAGCAGATGCTGCTATTGATGCTAAGAGCGTAAAGACTGTTCTTTGGGATTCTACAAATGAGAAGATTAAGTTCTTTAAGAAGGAGAACGCTACAATTGCAGATACAGCTGATTATGAGGTATCAGTTGCTTCAAGTGATGTTGAGACTCTTAAGACTCAGATGACAGAGGTTCAGGGTACCCTTACTGGTTACTCTTCTACATCTACTGTAGCTGCTGGAGTTGCTGCTGCTGAGAAGAATGCTAAGGATTATGCTGATGCAGAAATCAAGAAGTTGGCTGATGGTGCTGTAGCTGACAATACTAAGGCTATCGCTGATGAGGCAAAGAGAGCTGATGAGGCTGAGAAGGCTAACGCTAAGGCTATTGCTGACGAGAAGACAAGAGCTGAGGCTGCTGAGGAAGATCTTGACACAGCTGTAAAGGCTGCACAGAAGACAGCTGATGATATCACAACATTGGTTGGTGATATTCCTACAACTTCAGAGGCTACAACAGTAACAGCTTACGTTGACGAACAGGTTGCTAAGGCTACTGGAGACGCTAAGAAGGTTGCTGATGACCTCTCTGCATATGAGACATCTAATGACGCTCGTGTAAAGACAGCCGAGGATGATATTGACGCTCTTGAGGTTCGTGCTACTGCTCTTGAGACAGCTGTTGGTACTGTTGCAGATCTTGATACAACAAGCAAGGAAGTTGTTGGTGCTATCAACGAATTGAAGAGCGCTCTTGAGGATGCAGAAGAGGCTGGAGAAATTGAGCTTACTACAGCAGAGACAGCTACAGAAGGATATCTTAAGACTTACGTTCTTTCACAGGGTGGAGAAGAAGTTGGCAAGATTGATATTCCAAAGGATCTTGTTGTTAAGTCTGGTTCTGTAGTTAAGAACCCAGAGGGACAGCCAGCTGGTACATATATCGAGCTTATCATTGCTAACGATGAAGAGACACCTATTTATATTGATGTTAAAAATCTTGTAGATATCTATAAGGGTGCTGAGAATGCAGAACAGGTACAGATTACTGTAGATGGTTATACAATTTCAGCTTCTATCGTTGCTGGTAGCGTAGGAACAACAGAGCTTACAGACGCTGCAGTTACAACAGCTAAGATTGCTGATGAGAATGTAACAAAGGCTAAGTTGGATAAGACTGTTCAGGCTACATTGGATAAGGCTGATGCTGCAGAGCAGAATATTAAGGATGCTATCGAGGCTCTTGATTATACAACTGCTCCTGGTGAGGGAGATGATTATGTTGCTTCTATCACAGAGACTGATGGTGTAATCGCTCCTGTATATGGAACATTCAACTTCGATGAGAAGGGTGCTGCTGCTCAGGCACTTGTTGATGCAAAGCAGTATGCCGATGATCTTTATGAGATTGCTTCAGCTAAGGATATTACAGATCTTTTCTCTGATGAAGAGGCATAATTTCTAAATTATAAATAATAACAAACGGAGGGTGTCGTAAGACACTCTCCTCTTTATTTATTTGCGCAAATAAATAACACTCCAACAAAAGAAAGGAGCTAAAAATCTTATGGAAAAGCATAAGCTTATAGACTTACAAGGGTTAAAACAGTTCCTTAAAGACCTTAAGAATTGGGTCGCAAACTATTTTGACTCTCGTATTGATTCCGAAATGTCTACAACAAGTACTAACCCTGTTCAGAACAAGGTTGTACAAGACAGAATTGCAAAACGTGTTTGGTATGGAGTTTCAGCAGATATTCCATCAGCTGTAGAATCTGGAGAGATTGAACCAGGATATACTACTATCATAACATCAGATGATACAGAAGAACCAGATTTAGTACCATGTACATATGAAGAGATTCTTGCTCTCTTCCAAGCATCATAGAAAGGAGAATAATTATGGCAGTTGGATATTGGATAGACGGAAAATATGTTAAATGCGCTGGAAATTATTCTGCAGGTGCTCAAGAAGAGGCAACTGAGGATAAGCCAGGCTTAATGTCGGCTTTAGATAAAAGAAAGTTAGACTCTGCTATCACAGAGAATGACGATTTAACTGAAGAACAAATTAATTCATTATTTTAGAAAGGAGGGTATATATAAATGGCTTACGTTTCATATGAAAATATGCAAGTATATACTCCTAAAATGAAGGCATATGTAGATGGCAAAGTCGTTACATATACTTTTACAGAGGATACAACAAATCATACCCTCACTATTGAGGGAAGTGACGGTTCTAAAGAGGTAATTACTCTTGGTGGAGCTGTTACAAAGCAGGCAGTTATTGAAGGTCTTGGCTATACACCTGCTGATGAAGATGATATTCCTAGTGCATTGGCTGATTTAACAGACGATGCTACACATAGATTAGTTACAGATTCTGAGAAGACAGCTTGGAATGCAAAGTCTGATTTTAGCGGAAGCTATAATGACTTGTCTGACAAGCCAACTATTCCTTCTATTGAGGGATTAGCAACTCAGGAAGAAGTAAATGCTAAATATACAAAGCCAGAAATTGGAATTCCTAAGAGTGATTTGACAAGTGCTGTTCAGACTTCACTTGGCAAAGCAGATACAGCTCTTCAAAGTTTTACCGAAGAAGATCCTACTGTTCCTAGTCACGTTAAAGGAATTACTTCTGCAAATATTACAAGTTGGACTAACAAGGCTGAAAAGTCTGATATTCCTGATGTTCCAAGTTGGGCTTTATCTACTAATAAGCCAAGATACACAGCAAATGAGGTTGGTGCTTTGGCTGATACTACAACACATTTAAGTGGAGATATTGCTGCTACTGAGAAGGGTGCAAACAATGGTGTTGCTACTCTTGGTAGTGATGGTAAAATACCATCTTCTCAGCTTCCTTCATTTGTCGATGATGTTGAAGAATATACTGGAAAAGAGCAATTTCCAACCATTGGAGAATCTGGAAAGATTTATATAGATACAAGAACTAACATTACATATAGATGGGGCGGCTCTGACTATGTTGCTATTGGCAGTGATTTAGCATTGGGCGAGACTAGCTCTACTGCTTACGCTGGCGATAAGGGAAAGGCTGTTACAGATGCTCTTGCTACACATAAAGCAGATACAACAGTACATATCACTTCTTCAGAAAGAAGTACATGGAATGCTAAACAGGACGCTTTATCAACAGCACAATTAAACGCAACTAATTCAGGTATTACAAAGGCTAAGGTTGATGCTATACCTAGTTCTTATGCTCCAGTTGACGCTCAAGCTAATATTATTGAAACTATTAAGGTAAATAATACTACACTTGTACCATCTAGCAAAGCTGTAAATATTTCAGTACCTACTGTGTCAGACACATACTCTGCTACTTCTAGTGCAGCTATGTCTGGTAAGGCTGTGGCAAGTGCCATTAGTGGAAAGGTTGATTCAGTATCAGGTAAAGGTTTATCTACTAATGATTATACCACTACTGAGAAGAATAAGCTTGCAGGAATTGCATCAGGTGCAGAAGTTAACGTACAATCAGATTGGAGCGTAGCTGACAGTACTTCTGATGTTTA